CTTGCCAGTAACAGGAGGGGCAAAACTGCAACTGGAGAAGTCCTGAGGACCCTCCAGAAGAGCATTTAGAACTCCTTGGAACCCTCTGGGTTTTGTGTCTCCATCTCTTGCACGTCCAAGAGTAGGAGAAGATGAGGGTCATGCACTGTCCTGGACACACAAATGCCACTTAAGGTCAGCCAGGGGAGATTATCGGGCGCGAGACATGCTGAGCTTGGTCTCAGCCAGGCCCCAGCCAGACACGTTGTGCTGACACCAGTCCAGACAATTTTTTTTTTTTTTTTAAGCACAAATGCCCTCCGTGTGTGCTGGTGGATAAAGGAGGAAGGGCTGTGTGTGTTCATCTGCTGCTTGGCAGTGCCCACAGTGCTTATTTTCCAGCAGAAAGCTGTCTCCTGGAAGGCCAGGCAGGGCTCTCTCCAGGTCTTGGAGTCTCCCAGCTGGAACAAGAAAGTCTTTAAGGTCCCTTGGAACCAAAACCCTTTTTGAAAGTGAGGGGACTTTTGTTAGCAGTTCAGGGTAAATGCTACCGTGGTGAATATTGTGCCAGGATTGGTGCTTGATGGGAAATCCAGACCCAAGAATAAGGGAGAGGAGGGGTGAGATGGTGAGAACTTTAGGAAGAGCATGAGAAGATGCTCAGGACCAAAACTGCTTTTTGGAAAAATAAGTGTATATGTACATATATTATAAAAAGCGTACATAGTTCTGAATACTTCTATATTTGGATAGTTTGATTTGCCTCTAAACCTGATGTCCTTGATGAAAGATCCAATTACAGGCATTTAAAATCCTCATCAGTAAGGCCATTTTATTCCTATTTTCGGCTTTGAGACACTGGTGATAATTTTGACAGCCCTTGATGTGGTCAGCTGGGAGCAATCCTGGTGGGTCAGATAACCCAGTGTGTGCTAAACCTGCTCTTTTCTTTCAAGGTTGGTTGGCTACAGGAATACCTTTAGCTAAAAAAACCAGAACAAAACTCAAAGATCCCCAGCCTAGCTCCCCTTTACATTCATGAACCTGGCATTGGGACAAGGCTGAGATCTGAAGGACAGCACAGATCTAAAACAGGCCCAGGACAGGAGCTGCATTGTTTTAGTTTATTATTATTGTTTTTTTAAATTCAATTTTTCTAAAATGCTTTGGTTCTTTGTGTATTAAAAATAGAGAACTTTTTCCTCCCAGACTCCTAATAAAACTGCTGGAGCTTGGAAAGAAAAAGTATGGATGACATGCTTTCATCAAATTAAAACTCACCATGTGATGGAGAGAAAATCCACACCAGAAATTTCCTGCCACTTCCAAGCAAGGAGAGATGTGACTCCTTCTGCCATAGCTTGGAAGAACCAAGTGTGGAACTTGATAAATTTGTGTGTTTCTGTGGTGTGAATGTCCCATACCCACAGTTGCTTCTGCAGCTGTCAGTTTTTTGTGGGGTTACTGCTTTGGTATCCCATCCTGCTGGATTTCTGCATGGATTTGGAAGCATTTTCAGCAGGAGCAGGATCATGCCCTGAGCCCCCAGACAGCATTTCTCCCCATTGTGGAGAAATCCTGACTGTGGGCTTTTCTTGAGAAAGCTCAGGCAGGACTTGGTGGTTTTGGAGGTCAGGGCAAGTGGTGGGGAACCTCATAGCCTCTTGTGCTGGTTGGTGAGTTGGGACTTAGCTGGAATGATGCTTTTATGGAGGACAATGGATGCACTGGCAAAACTGGGGCAGCCCCTCAGGAAAATCCAGGAAGGTGTAAAAAATATGGGGGAAAAAGAAGAGCTTTCCAGTGGGGATGGGATTTGGTGTAACACGGTTGTGCTGGGCATCACTGGTGATGAACCACCTGCACGAAAATGACAAAAGGTGTTTCCCCAGGGGATTTGGAGTATTGCCTTGATTTCTTCCCTCTGTGAGGGGCTATGTGAAGGGCTGTTCTCTGTAGACCTGACTACGAGTGATCCATACAACTAATTCCCCAAATTCCTCAGGGCAGACTCACTTTATTTTCAGTTGTTTCTATACTATTATTTTTTCACAATGAGCTTGCACAACGCGCTGGGGGGAGCCTGCTGGAGCCTCAAGGCAGGCTGCAATGAAAACCATGGAAAATCCTAATAACCCAGTGATAGCAGCAAATGGAGGGATCCTTAATAGCGAAATAATAGTGCAGATGTTTATAGCATTAAACATTATCATTGTTTGCTGGGACATGGGAACGCTCCCAGTTTGCTGGGAGTTTTCCAGGCATTTAGAAAGGGATGTGTTTGCACCAAGGAGCTCGTAAAAACGATGCTTTTAACTCAAAACAGGCATCCCAAAGGGTTTGCAGCCATCTATGGGCTGTCACACGCACACCAGGATGTGCTGAGGAGGATGTGGCTGTGGGTTTTCCTGGGATCTGAGTTTTTGTGTGGCTGCAGCAGGCAGAGTTGGATGGTGGGTGCCTGCAATGACCCCAGGTTGCACGGGGTGAACCCAGCAGGGTGTTTTTGAGCATAATACTTCTGTTTGCTTCATTTGCACAGATCCGTGATTATTGCCACCAAAAAAAGCCTTTTTGGGGGAAAAAAAAGAAGTCCGTCACTGTAGGAAGCGTCTCTTGAGTCACTTTTTCCTTGTCTCCTGCCACCTCCTCTCCTGCCGGAGTGGTGCCACTGGCTTTTCCCACCCCTTTTCCTGGCGGATGCCAGAACAAGGGGGGCGGGTGGGAGCAAGGGGGCTCCTCTGGGGTCCCAACAACTGCAAAAAGCAGCTTTGGTGGTGGCTGGCAGGGAGGCCTGAGCCTGTTTATCCCAGCTGAGCCCTTATACTCTCATGGATTTTTGACTAGACATGCAGTCAACAGCTGAAGCCCACAAACGGAAGAGGCTCTGGCATATTTATACTGTGTGCTGGCATCAGCTCCTTAAAAAAAACTCAAACATCCCGGATTACCTAAGATTCGTCCTTGAGGTCTGGTCACCCCATGTCATTCAGAAACCTAGTGGGATTCATTCATGAACTTCCAGCCCTCCATAAAGGTCTGTTCATTCATCGCCAAGGCAATTTTCTATTTTTTTTTTTTATTATTATTGGTAGGTTTGTGTTTTTTTCTTTTCCCTAAATGCTCTAGCAATTAAATAGCTCTCTGTAAGCAGTAGTGAACTAGCTGTTACATGGTCTTCACTAATACAAGCACAAACACCAGGTGAAAAAGTCCTTTTTTCCCCACCCCTGCCACCTCCTGAAAGGGATGGTTTTATATTCGCATCAATAAAAACCTGTAGGAATTTCAGCAGGGGTCCAGTGGCTCCAAAATCCCCCCAGCTGCTGTAAAACAAAACCCAAAAGGCTCTGAACATCACTGGCAGGCTGACAGTGAGGAGGGAGGTAGTGGGTGGTCAGCAGAGATCCCCCTTTGGATTGAGGAGCATCCTTCCCCTGGATCCAGAAGCAGCCCTCCCAGATTCTTCTCTCTCCCAGGCAGGTGGTGGAAACTCCATCCTGGAGGTGTTTCTTGCCCCTCTGGATGCACTTTTTCATGGATTGCACCCCATCTGTGTTAGCGGGGAGGAAGTAACCCAAACTGCCCTCCTCAGCCCCAGGTTTCAGCAGGACATAAAATTACCCACAGCAAAGTCTTGTGAGGCACCAAAAAAGGGAGTGGAAGGACAAACTGGGTGCATCTCAACGGATGCTGTCCCAAGGACTACCCCAGCATGGCCAGAACGCCTGTCCCTGGTTTAACCTGGGAATGAGGGTCCCTATTTTGAGACATCCATAGCCAGGCCCATTTTTAGTAGCTGCCTCCAGCAACTGGAGAAATATTTTCCTCGCTGGCATAGAAATGAGGAAATTAAAAGTGTGTGGCTGGGCTTTTTTTTTTTTTTTTTTTGTCTCTCCTCTCTTAAAAGCACAGTGCAGGGCTTGAACGAGATGGGAAGAAAACTGGGAAAATGGGTTTATTAATAGCAAAAAATAGAGCGAGCAGGCAGCCAGCATGTTGCCCTGGGGAGGGGTGGGTGGGGGGCCTGCAGGAAGAGCTTTTGGTTGCTGGGTCACCCACCATCCCAGCTCCAGTAGTTTCTCTCATAGTTCAGGGGATTATTTTGGTAGTGCTCACTAGCTTGCATTCCCAGCTTGATTTTTTTTTTTTTTCAAATACTATTATAGAGATGAATAGTTCCCAGGTCTTAACATGCCTACCGAGGCTGGAAGGAATTACCCGCCGAGCAGCGCCAGGCTGCTCGGGATCCTCCATCAGGAAAAGGGGCTTTCTCACATTTCTTCCCTCCCCCTGCCTTGCTTTTTCCTCCTACATCATTGCCATGCTGCATGGGGTAATTATGGGCAAGGGAGTTGAGAGAAGGGCTGCACCAATGAACTTCTACTTTTTTTTTTACAAGTTTTTAGGCCATTTTCATTAAGCTGTGTGAGGTTTTTTGGTTCTCTCTGTGTCTTTTGGTGCTTCCCATCGGTTAGGGTGGTGTCTCATACTGTCCATCACCCAGACCCTGCAGGCAGGGAAAAGCCCCACACACCAGAGCAGTCAAGTTCTCATCCCCTCTGGTCCCATGGGGTGGCTCTCAGTCTGGTTTTCCTAGCAGCACCTCATTGTTTTCAGTGGCTGTGCACAGTACATTGTCATTTATGGAAATAAATCATTCAGTAGGTGAGAATCAGGGTGTTCAGATGTTTGGTGGCACAAGCATCTCACCTCTCCTGTTGGCACTGTAGATGGTCCTGGTGTTGGTTTGGGTGAGGGTGGCTGTGTCATTGTCACTGACTGTGCCATTCAGCACTGACTGTAAATCCAGCCAGAGCTAGGCACTGGAATGACAGAGGAGTGCCTCAAACCTGAAAATGTTTTTTTTTGGAAATAGTGGATGGACGTTGATGTATGCGTGGAGAGGATCATGAAGACGTGGGCAGGCAAGGTGCTGCCGGTTCTGCGTCGCTTTTGGTTCGTGTTGATTCCCTTGGTGCTAAATCTCTCCTTTTTCTTTTCCCCCTGTTGTTCTGCAGATTCTCAAGTTCTTCAGGAGCCAGGGGATAGGTCACACTGGTGTGTGGTGGCATACTGGGAAGAGAAGACACGCGTGGGTCGGCTGTACTCTGTCCAAGAGCCCTCCCTGGATATCTTCTATGATCTACCTCAGGGGAATGGTTTCTGCCTCGGACAGCTCAACTCAGACAACAAAAGCCAGCTGGTGCAGAAGGTGCGCAGCAAGATCGGCTACGGCATCCAGCTCACCAAGGAAGTGGACGGCGTGTGGGTGTACAACCGCAGCAGTTACCCCATCTTCATCAAGTCGGCCACACTGGACAACCCCGACTCCAGGACGTTGCTGGTTCACAAAGTGTTCCCAGGGTTTTCCATCAAGGCTTTTGACTACGAGAAGGCGTACACCTTGCAGAGACCCAACGACCACGAGTTCACGCAGCAGCCATGGACGGGATTTACCGTGCAGATCAGCTTTGTGAAAGGCTGGGGCCAGTGCTACACGAGACAGTTCATCAGCAGTTGCCCCTGCTGGTTGGAGGTTATTTTCAACAACCGATGACTCGAGACAGAGTGAACTCATGACATCTATACTACTTTGCTGCTATTACTTCCTTCTGAGTGCTTGCTTTTCATGCAGACTTTTTTGTTGTTGTTGTTTTTTTTTTTTTGGTTTAGTTTTGTTTTGTTCACCCTTCCTCGTTTTGAGAAATAGCTTATGAAAGATTGTTGTTGTTGTTGTTGTTGTTGTTTGTTTTTTTTTGTTGTTTTTGCCTTTGGGGTATTTTGATAAATATATCTATTTTTTAAAAGTGTGAATGACCAATAACTCTCAGAAGGGCGAGAGAAGGGTGCAGTGGGGATAGATCACACGAGATAATTACTTCACGCCTCTCAAAAAGGATTATCCAATGGGGATCGATGGATTTGAAAGCCACTAGCTCTATGTTACACCTCCTTCCCTTGGACAACACAAGGAGATGACTGTATTTTTGTACGCACCACCTTCCCAGTGACGGTGACACCGAGACCCCTTCCCAGCAGTGCTGACCCCGCGTTGCCGCCGAAGGATGGTGCAAAACCTTCCCAGACAGGTCTTTTACCGACCTTTCGTGTTTCTCTTGTTGCTGGGTTCGTGTCTTGTCACTGTGTTGATTGTTCCACTGCTTTTTCTATGTTTGTTATGATCGTGGATTGATGTAAGAGGAAAAAAAACAACAGTGGAGGGACTCCGCGGGCATGGCCCGTGCTTGATCATTTGAGCTGAGATGCAAAGTGACAGAATTCTAAACCTAAAAAACAAAAAAGAAAAAATTAAAACTAAAGAAAAACAAGTGGGGAAAACAAGAGAAAAAGTGTTCACAACAGTCGGTGTGTCCATAACCTGCTTAGGTCAGGTTATCCAGGTACCATCTTATCTGGAATTGCAGTTGTGCTTTCATTTCTTCTTGAATTCATACACGAGTATGATACTTTTACACTGTTCTTAGCTCAATGAGCATGTTTAGACCTTAACATAAGCTATTTTTCTAAATATAAAGGTTTAATTGAACAAGAGAGCATTCTTCTTGGAACTTTAGCATTGTAGTGCTTTGGAAAAACACCCACACAAAAGAAAGGACTCCTTAAAAAAACCTGAGATTTATTAAAGAAAAAAATGTATTTTATGTTATATATAAATATATTATTACTTGTAAATATAAAGACGTTTTATAAGCATCATTATTTATGTATTGTGCAATGTGTATAAACGAGAAAAAAGTAAGAAAGATGCACTTTGCTTTAATATAAATGCAGATAACAAATGCCAAATTTAAAAAAAAAAAAAAAAAAAAGAGAACACAAGATTGGTGTTTTTTCTATGGGTGTTATCATCCAGCTGAATGTTTCTTTTTCTAAAGGAGTCTATGTTCCATTAAAAAATAAAAATGTACACTTGATCCCAAACTGTGCCAAGTGGCTTTTTTTGGTGGTGTGGGTCATGGAGACTGGAGAGGTGCTGCTCTGAGTGGGTGCTGCGTGGGGTCAGTGGTGGGAGCACCCCCAGCTGGGGTGGGTAACACCTGGCTGGGATCATCCTGAGCCTTGGGCTCCCCTGGCCTGGTTCGGTGCCCACGGCTTTTGGCTGCCCGGTTTGGATGCACTCCGTCAGCCCGAGGCTGGAGGGACTGGCTGCCCAAAATCCGCTGGGTTGTTTTTGCTGTTGTTCCTATTTCTCCCAATTTCAGCCAGACAGAAGCCCGGTGCTGGGGACACAGCTCCCGTTTGAGCCTGTCTCTGTATTTGTCTCACAAATACTGGGCCAAGCTTGTGCTCTCTGCTGGGACACATGTGGCCTGTGCCAGCAGCTGAGGAGGAAAACACCAGGAGGAAGCCAGTCCTTGGGTTTTCCTTGACTATTTCCTACCCTTTTCATCTCCCGTGCCTCTGCAAATAAAGGTGGTTGTTCCTTTTGCCCCCCTCACCCTGCCTTTGGGCATTCCCTGCTCCACATCCTCCTTGCACATGAGCTCTGCCAGGGGCAATTCCCTATACATTGTTCCTGCCTTCCGTGGAGCAGGACCTTGGGTGGAAACCACCATGAAGAATGTCCAGGTGGACTTGTGAGCTCCCACCCTACCGAAGGGCACGGACCCCAGGAATGTGACCTCAGCCTCTGCTGTCCTCCAGGGGCTGGGTGGGCCAGGCAGCAGGTCCGTCTCCGTGAGCTCCAGCTCGGTGCTGTGCCTTCTTTCAGCATAGATGTGCCCTCCCCAGAGGGATTTACTGGCACACAGCGTTTGGGTGTCTCCAAATGGACTGTGCTTTCAGCTGGATCCATGGCACTGAACACATGAACCAGCTCCAAAGGGGATTTTGGTCTAGGGCCTGTTTCAGTTCCCAGGCGCTCTCCTCATCCTTCAGGTGGGAATCAGCACAGAAAGCTGAGGCAGGATGGATACACCCATCTTGTGTCGCTTGATGTGCAGTAAGACACGCCCAGGAGGACAGGAGTCTTCCCAAACAATCTCATCTGTGCCACAATTTGGCTCACTTCTGTTCTGAGGCGCCAAATGTGAGCTACCCAATAATGACACAACGCCTGCCTGGTGCAGTGGGCCAAGCTAGCAGTGATGGCATCCATCACAAGCTCCAGGATCACCACCAAAGGCACTGCCGGTGAAGGATGGAGCAGACAGGTGCCTCACAAAACCCTTGGCTTATTGCTCTTGAGTTGTGTGGCATTGATCTTCGTGAGCAGGTCTCTGTGGGCAGCAGGGACCTGGGGTTGGAAAAATCACTCCAAATCTGGGTGTATGACCAGGTATAGGGTCATGCTGGGATTGTAGCTAGCAGTCTAAGAAGCACAAAAATCAGAAAAAAAATAATGAACTTATTTGATTTGCAAGGGACCTTAAACTAGTTCCAACTCCCTATCATGGGTAGGCACAACTTCCATTGTACTAGGCTGCTCCAAGTCCATCCAACCTGGCCTGCATCTTTTCCAGGGATGGGGCAGCCACAGCTGGGTGGTTTTACTCTGGATTAACAAAGAGATAGGGAATATTTGGTTCACTTGTGCTCCTCTCATCTCCAAACTGGGCTGCTGGGTCCTAAACCAGAAGAGATGAGACGATAGCTTTGAGTCTGAGGTATGGAACCAACTGAGCCACAAGGACAACCACAGAACTCTGCGTTGCAGAGGTGTTCTCAAGTGTTTTCACCTTGTTCCATGAGGTACATACTGTATCCTGGTGGTTAAGGCCCTGAAACCAAATTGTAGCGTAGATGGCTTTGTCCCTTCAATTTAGATCTGATTTTTGTCCCTGCACATTAGTCCATGAGATTTGACCAAACCATTTCCTCTTTTCCAGGAAATTTCACTTGTAAGGTACAGAGGTTACAAAAAGCTGCTCATCCTGAAAGTGAAGGATGAAAGTACTGTACCTCTAAACAAACTCTTTACAGCAGCTTTTCAAAATACAAAAACACTCCCAGGGCTGGAGCCCCTCTGCTCTGGAGCCAGCCTGGCCCAGCTGGGGCTGTTCCCCTGCACAAGAGAAGGCTCCAGGGGCACCTCAGAGCCCCTGCCAGGGCCTCCAGGGGCTCCAGGAGAGCTGCACAGGGACTGGGGACAAGGCCTGCAGGGACAGCACACAGGCAATGGCTGCCACTGCCACAGGGCAGGCACAGATTTTGGGATCTTGGGCAGGAATTGCTGGCTGGCAGGGTGGGCAGGCCCTGGCCCAGGGTGCCCAGAGCAGCTGTGGCTGCCCCTGGATCCCTGGCCAGGTTGGGCAGAGCTTGGAGAGCCCTGGGATAGTGAAAAGTGTCCCTGCCCATGGCAGTGGGTGGAACAGGATGAGCTTTAAACTGTTCTGCTGTTCTCTGAAAATGAAAAGAGGAAAAATGAGCCAGCGAAGCCAGAGCCTGTCTGTGGAGATGTGCCTGTGGTGGGTGCAGTGCTGGTGGCTCTTGTGTCATTTGCAGGGTGCAGTGATGGTCTGGGGTATCCTCCACAACCTCCCTTTACACCTTGCCCTGTGTGATTTCCTGGCCATGCCTGTGGAACACTGAGCTGGCTGGACCTTCAGCTGGACTTGCCTTTCCAGGTCAAATATTAAAATCACCTGGAGAATGACCTGAAAAGCCTGGCAGATCACTTTATTCTACGAGATCTTTGCTTGCATTCTTCTGTCAAAATAAAAGGCCAGGCAAGGTTGTTCACAGTAAGAAAGCTGAGAAATAATCAGCAAAACTCTGGCTTTTCAATACTATGACAGTTTTAGCTGAAGTGTTCCAGCCCTCACCTCCTGCTGAGCTAATTTTAGCCCTCATTCAACAAGGAAAAAACAAGAACATGACAGGAGGATGCTGAGCACCAGTTCATATGTGTCCCCATTCACTCGCTCAGCTCTGGGGCTGGTGGATGTGGGGCGAGTGGGAGGTTAAAATAGAGACCAGAGGTTAAGCAAGGAAGAATTTCCCCTTGTCAAGAGTTTTCCAATGGTGTAATTCCATCTTCAGGGCTCGGAAAAGCTGCAGCCACACAAGGCAAGGTGCTGACCTGGTACAAACCTGGTCTGAGCAGAAACACAGATGAAGGAGCTGTGGACAAGGACAAAGCCAGCTCCTTCCAAAATGAAAATGCTGATATCCAAGTCATCCCTGGATAGCATCATGATGTTCTTCTTGCTTCAAGCCTCCAGCACCTAAATTCAGGCACACCCCAGCTCCAGGGACACCTTCCAGCAGAGCAATGGCAGCCCTGGGACCTCACCTGTCGTCATGCTCTGTACAGCTTATCTGTGGATTCCACTATTCCCTCCTTGGAAATCACCTTAGAGAAATCCCATCTGCTTAAGAGGCTCAGACATGAGGTGGTTGAGACAGTCTGAAATCCAGATTTCCCAGCGGATGGCGGGACATGTCTCCCTCTTCTCCTTCTTAGAAAAGAATTTCTCTGGAAATTTGGGATGACTGAAATCAGCCTGTTCTTGCTAACTGTGTTTTTGCTTTGGACTGTGGCTCCAGAACCATAAATGCTAAATCTTCTGACAATACACTGCAACATGTTAAATTGCAGCACAGTGGGGCCTTTTTTCCCCCAGTGTTGCTGAGCAGTAATTGAAGAGTGCAATAAAAAAGGGTCAAACAATGCAATTTTTGTCCTAAATCACACCTGAAATATTGTCAAAGTGTCAAATGCTGAGGTACTGCAAGGGAAGGTGGTGAAATTCTACCGTCCTCAGGTCATGGTTTTCCACACTGGAAGGCCATTTGCAGGTGGAGCAGAGCCATGATCCCAGTGCCAGGTGATGCTCAGCAGCTGGCTCACTGCCCACCCTCCCCGCTGGGGGAATGGGTCCTTCTGCCCATGCAGCCCTCAGGACAGGCAGCTCAAATCCATGGAAAAGCTGATTCTTTGTGCTGGTGGTGTTTTCACTGGTGTAAAGTTACCCCAGTGGATTTTACCTCAGCTTGCAAATGGTAGCTCAGCTGGGTATTTGTCTATATCTGTCAGTGGATTTTACCTCAGCTTGCAAATGGTAGCTCAGCTGGGTATTTGTCTATATCTATCTATCTATCTATCTATCTATCTATCTAAGCTATCTAATCTATCTATCCATATCTGTCTGTCTGTCTATCTATCCATCCATATCTATCTATCCATATCTATCTATCCATCCATATCTATCTATTATCTATCTATCTATCTAATCTATCCATATCTATCTATCTATCTAATCTATCTATCCATATCTATCTATCTGTCTATCTATCCATCTATCTAATCTATCTATCTATATCTATCTATCTATCTACTATCTGTCTGTCTGTCTTTCTGTTGGTCTGTCTGTCTGTTTGTCTAGCTATCTACTGGTGTGAAAGCCCTTGTGGAGGCAAACTGGAAAAAAATTGGCTTAAGAGGAATTAACAAGTCACATCCATACAAGCATTTTCTTTGCGTTGTCCCCGTGCATTTGAAAATTCAGCTTGTTTTATTGGGCACATGTTGGAAAGAAGGTACCAGGCTGGGGGCACACCTCTGGTGGTTTGAGGGAGAAGATTAAAATGGGCTAAGAAGATTAAAATTGTGGAAATATTCGGAGCAAGAAGTGAAGATGGAGAGCTACTCCCATGCCATTTGTCTGTACAGTAGCACAGACTCAAATGGGCTTTTTTGGACCAGATATTTTTGTTTTTTGCAACAAGCAGCCTTGAGAGGTGATGTGCTGGGGGATGGACAGCAAAGCCAGGACTGGCCCTGAACAGGCAATTGACGAGCCAGCTCAAGGCTGGGGAGCTCTGTCCCTGTGACCTCACTGTGTCACCAGACTTTGGCAGGAGCCCTGCTCAGCCTTGCACAGAGGAGGCAGAGGAGCACCCCCAGCCTCTCCAGCAACTCACTGTACAAATTTTTGTGTGGCTTAAAGGTGAAATGAATAAAACCCCAAAATTCTTGC